AACAAAACAAAAACCATGATTGCAGTATTAGCATATTTCAGAGTGATACATTATTTCTCAGCTACTACTTAGTTCTGAGTTATGACCACAGAGTATAAGCTAGTTTTTTGTAATGATGAAAAGTAAAAATACTTTGGAAGCGAACAGTCAATGATGCCTGTAGAAATGAAAGGCCTGACCCCCACTGGTTTACAGAGATAAAAAATGTCATTCTGAAATCAGTGTGAACTGGTTGTACTTGGTGGATTTCTTCCTGGAGTCTGTTCTGAGGCTCACTTTTTAAACCTGTTGAAATCAATGGGTTGGTTTTTTTTACTAATATGATGGAATTTGAATTGGGCCTTAAATGCTTACAGAAGACTCTGTTGTGAATGTATGTGTAAATTAGCCTATAAGGTTATCAAATGTTTCCACAGTGCAAATTTTACAAATAACACATACTGCTTTTGACTAGTTGATTTTATCATGGAGGAGAAAAATCAATGATAAATAAAGTATTTACACAAGTATAATATACAATCTGTAAGAAGCCTCAAACATAATATATCCCGTTCTGATACTAAATGTTTCTGTGTCATTTGAGGACAGAAAATACAATAATCTTGTACTGTCTTTTCTCACCAAGCATAGAAGGAGACTTGTCTTGTTCAGAAGTTGGAGAATGAACTTAGGGATAACCCCTCAGAGGTCTTACCCATCCCCCTTTGAAACTGTGCTTTGAAACCTCAAAAGTCCAGTTTTCCCTTTTTGCTCTCATTCATCAGGAGTGAAGAATAAAAGTAATTATTTTTCTTAATTTTCTATCCACTTTTTTCCTGCTTCATGGGGTTGTTGTGTTGTGGGTTTTTTTGTTTGGTTGGTTTGATTTATTTCTTTTTCAGACTATGTACATGCAATGGTTTTGAGACCAGGTTTAATGCATGGTGGGAGAGTCATTCTGTAGTTCCTCAGAAGGCATGGTAGTTCTAATTTATTTTGATGAAAGACTCAGTAAGACTCAAGGTTTTTTAAGGATATTTTACCCAGTGAAAGATTTAACCAGGTTAGCTTCCATTTGAACAGACCACAAGGTAAATTTTACAGTGACAACAGAAAAAAAAACCCTGAAGTTTAGTATTTCCTCATTAGTTTCGTAGTAGTTGTTACCTATGGAGCCTATGGGGAATACGATATAAAAATAATAATACATTAAAAGAAAATATTCAGGGAAGAAAAGGACCAGGTTAGCTTCCATTTGAACAGACCACAAGGTAAATTTTACAGTGACAACAGAAAAAAAAACCCTGAAGTTTAGTATTTCCTCATTAGTTTCGTAGTAGTTGTTACCTATGGAGCCTATGGGGAATACGATATAAAAATAATAATACATTAAAAGAAAATATTCAGGGAAGAAAAGGAAGGAGTTAACAAATACTCAGATCCTTTTTTTCTCACTCAGGGAATGAAATACTCTGATACTTTTCCCAGTAAGACAAAGTGCTAAAATGTGTGGGTTAGTCTGTGTGTCTGCAAATGTTTTCACAGGATTAAGGGCCTAACTAGACCAGAACTAGCAAATGGAACTTTCCTAATACAATATGAAGGAATTTGAGGCTATGTTTACTCATTTGAAAGACAATGAACATTTTCATTCTTTCTTTATAGAACAATATATGGTAGTGTTTTATTTGCAGACAAGTTATATGTGTAAATTGCACCATCTTTAGTGTCATCATTTATTCTGCTTTAGAATTGATACAGTAGTGTTCTGTGTCGTCAAGGTTATCTGTTCAGTAAGTACTCCCTGTGCATATTATTATCTTTGTAGGTTTTCCAGATCTTAACTTCAAAACTGATTTTAATCTTTAGTACTTCCAGACTTCTTGGTTATCACTAATAGCTAATGGCTATCTAGTGGTTATCACTAATTACTTACGGATATCCCTCTTAGTTAATTCCATCCAGACATTCACAAACACTCTTTTCTTATATTCTTAAATTTCATGTAGGAAGATGAGGTGATGAGATAATCAGGTGCTGCAATGATTTTATTATTTCTTCCTGTGGTAAAGTGATTAACTTTTCTTTTTCTAGATTTGCACAGTAAAATATAAATTGGCATGCTTTACTACTTTACTTTTTTAAGCATCTAGTTCATTCCAAAGTGAAAACTGTCTTAAATTAGTATGACCTTTTGAGCCATCTCACAGCAGTAGTATTGATCAGTGACACAAGTTTTAGAAATAATGCAGAGACGCAGCCAGAATCTTAGCTGAAGTCTTTATAAATCTCATCTGTCTCTCAGTTGGAGTGATGCTGATGTTGCAATACTTATGCAAAATGGGGAGGAACTTGGCTGCTTTCATTTCTCTAAATTTAGTACGTGGGTAGGCCAGGACAGTGAACAGTTTATAACATCTCTGTGAAGCAAAGTTAATAAATCCATTTTGTATGTGAACCTCTGTAAACCTTTCCTCATCCTTTAAAAATGTTGCTGTGCTGCTGACAAATATGTCAGTGGCAGGAAATACTGGAAGAAGACCTAGTACACTTATTTCCTGTAACATTAAAGCCACTGTAATTATGGGTCATTTGCCTGGCTTCCTTGGTAATGAAGAGTTTTAATTGCTTCTAGTTTCAGGGAATTAGTTAAGCTTTTCATTATGCATATTGCCTTCCATAATCATCGGTTCCACTCATACAATAAGCTTAGTGACATCATGGAAGTCAATTAGGTCTTTCAAGGAAGAGCAGTGAAGTACGTATCTTTGTATGGACTGGATTAGAAAAGGTTTCTGAAAGGCTGTGATAATGCTGTTCTGTGCAACATTTAGCTTACTCTTCAAAAGGCAAAGCCTGTCAGGGTTTCCTTTACTGTCCTCAGAGTGCTTAGAGTCACAAACTGAGGTATTGTTAAAAATAAAACCTATAGGCAGAATCATGCTTTAGGTCTAATAGCAATTGTTCCAAGCATTGCAAGATCATCTGGTTGTATATTTGTAGTGATAATGATCCACATGTGAAAATACAATGTTTTTCAAACTGGAATTTAGTGACTGTATGAAGGAAATGAGCACAAAATGAGGTTTGTGTGCTTCTGTTAGCATACTAAAAATCATTACTTTTTACTTCATTATGTGCAAGGTAGAAAGCACCTCTTAATTTCACTTGGCACACTCCAAGTGGTTGCTGGCATATTGATGGGCAAAAATCGGTATTTTAAGAAGAAAAGGAAGCTGAAACAATGGGTTAATTCCCTCTTTCTCTTCCACAGATGGGTGGATACTGATAGGTCTACATAGCACAGACATTTAATGCATCTTGCAAGAATGTTTTCTTTGCACAGAATAAAGGTTTTGTGGGTTGCAGCTTGTTCTCTTAGAACACAGCCAGAAAAGACAAACTTTGTGCCTCACTAATCTTCTCTGGTGTAATAGTTGTATTTCAGAGAGCCTAAAAGATGCAGTATGCTGTTGTATGTTCTCCCAGTGTCAGATCTGGATTCAGTCAAAAGTTAAACTAAGTTTAGCAAGTCATTACTCTTACCCATTTGGTATTAGTTGACACAGTCTATTTTGTTGTGAAAAAAAGGATAAAAAAATCCATCCTGAGTTTGTAGGAAGGGATTTGGTTGACTGATAATGACTGTAGGGAA